CACTATAGAGGAATTGATCAACTACACTGGTCATAGTGAGTGTGTGTGTGAATGAGTGTGTATGGGTGTATGGGTGTATGGGTTGCGGCTGGAAGGTAAAAGTGTAAAACCTTCATTCATTTTCTTTTCGGCTTAGTCCCTTTATTAATCACCACAGCGGAATGAACCGCCAACTTATCCAGCACATGTTTTAAACCGCGGATGCCCTTCCAGCTGCAACCCAGCACTGGGAAACACCCATATACGCTTACAATTTAGCCTACCCATTTCACCTGCACCACATGTGTTTGGACTGTGGGGGACACCGGAGCAACCGGAGGAAACCCACACGAATGCGGGGAGAACATGCAAACTCCACACAGAAACACACACTGACCCAGCCGCGGCTCGAATCTTGCTGTGAGGCGACAGCACTACCTACTGCGCCACCACATCACCCAGTGTAAAAAATAAGCTGGATAAGTTGGTGGTTCATTCCGCTGTGGCGACCCCTGATTAATAAAGGGACTAAGCTGAAGGAAAAGGAATGAATGAATGAATATAATAATATAATAGGAGGGTTGGTGCCGTGTATGGGGACGCACCATCTCCTGCGCCACGGCTTCAGGAACCTCTTTCTCCAGGTCAAAGCTGAACTCGATGGCTCCGCCGTCTCGGTATTTGCCCTTGAGTTTGCGCGGGTCCTCCACCCACAGCTTCAGGGCGATGGAGGTCTTCAGGCAGTCATCCTCCTCCGCCAGCTCCACCCGCACTCCCGTGTCCTCCGCGAAGAAGGCGTGATTCAGCAGATCCTTGATGGAGTACCTGCGGGAGATACAGCACGAACACACTGAGGAGACCTCCACAAACACACTGAGGAGACCTCCACAAACACACTGAGGAGACCTCCACAAACACACTGAGGAGACCTCCACAAACACACTGAGGAGACCTCCACAAACACACTGAGGAGACCTCCACAAACACACTGAGGAGACCTCCACAAACACACTGAGGAGACCTCCACAAACACACTGAGGAGACCTCCACAAACACACTGAGGAGACCTCCACAAACACACTGAGGAGACCTCCACAAACACACTGAGGAGACCTCCACAAACACACTGAGGAGACCTCCACAAACACACTGAGGAGACCTCCACAAACACACTGAGGAGACCTCCACAAACACACTGAGGAGACCTCCACAAACACACTGAGGAGACCTCCACAAACACACTGAGGAGACCTCCACAAACACACTGAGGAGACCTCCACAAACACACTGAGGAGACCTCCAGAATATAAGTTTGAATTCATTTTAAGCACAAATGCGAGTGAGTGTGTGTATGTGTGTGTGTGTGTATGTGTGTGTGTGTGTGTGTGTGTATGTGTATGTGTGTGTATGTGTGTGTATGTGTGTGTGTGTGTATGTGTATGTGTGTGTGTGTGTATGTGTGTATGTGTGTGTGTGTGTATGTGTGTATGTGTGTGTGTGTGTGTGTGTGTGTGTGTGTGTGTGTGTGTGTGTGTGTGTATGTGTGTGTGTGTGTGTGTGTGTGTGTGTGTGTGTGTGTGTGTGTGTGTGTGTGTGTGTGTATGTGTGTGTATGTGTATGTGTGTGTGTGTATGTGTATGTGTAGCACTGACCGCTCCTCTTTCTTCTGACAGATGCACTCGCCGATGATCTCCTTCACCTCAGGATCCATCACTTTATTATAGCTGGCAGGCTTCACTCCCTGAGAAACACACACACACACACACACACAAACATTAATGGTGTGAACTGAACCTTAAATTAAAATACATTTCAGTCACTCAAAACTATGAAATCACTTGACGAGTGTGTTGGTTATGGGATGATGTAAGTGGGATGGGTTTTTTTTTATAGTTTGTAGCTCAACAGATTTGCTGATTAATTATGGATTAATGCATGGAAATTATGCTACAAAAAAGTCAAGAAATGTAAATATTAGGAGTTTACAGATATTTAAAGGAAGAAGAAAAGTGATCTCTGCCGTTTTATTAAGCATGATTATGATCCATATCTTGTCTTTCTTCAGCACTTCAGCGCTGACTGTGATCACTGATGACATTTATTCTCCTTCAAGCCGATTAAACTGTAATAAAATGAAGGAAATATTGATTTGAGCGGCTCGATTATGAAGAACAGAGAGATCTGAAGAGCTGAGAACCCTCCGAGAGCCGCGTGAACACACAACAGATGAATATCAGATCAATACCCATCAGCACACCACACACTCACAGCACTCATGCATTAGGCTCAGATCTACAGCTATAGAGCGACGGCTCTTTTAATATTACAAGATAATCACAGACAGATGATATGAATATTGGAGTCTATGAATATCTGAAGAGCAGAGCGGGTCGAGGACTTCATCCATGAGAGGATCTGACAGAATATTATTTGCTCCAGTCATATTATATATATATATATATGTGTGTGTGTGTGTGTGTGTGTGTGTGTGTGTGTGTGTGTGTGTGTGTGTGGGTGTGTGTGTGTGTGTGTGTGTGTAGGTTGACAATTCTTCACAGCATTTCATATAATTTTTTTTTCTTCCAGAGAAAGTCGTATTTCTTTTAGAATGGCTGGAATAATGAAAATAACTTCTTAAAAAATAATAATAAAAAATAAATAAATATATGCATAATATTTAAACAAAATAAATAATTGAATAAAATATCTGAAATAAAAATAAAATAAAATAAAGTAAAAATAAAGTAAAAATATCAATATAAATAAAAAATAAATAAATACCTAAAAGATAAATAAAATTAAAAATAAAATGAAATTTAAAAATAAACACACAATAATAAATTAAATTACATAAAAATACATGCATAAAAATTAATACGTAAAAATACCTTTAATAAAATAAATTAAAATAAAATACAAAAATAAATGCATAACAAATATCTAAAGTAAAATTTAAATAAAATAAAATGCAAAACTAATACACAAAAATACAGAAAATAAAAAATAAATACATAATCAATATCTAAAACAAAAATAAAATAAAATGCAAAAA